GTCTTCCAACCTCTGATAATGTGGCCAAACGGAACGGGCCGGCGAACGGGACTTGCGCCATTTGTGGCCTCGAGGAAGACGTTGACCATGTTTTCTTCAGGTGCTGTTTAGCTAGATTTGCGTGGAGCGCGGTTAGAGATACCTTTAAGCAGAATTGGAACCCGCAAACTAGCGACGATCTAATCAACTTGCTGGCGGCACAGAGGGGTGCCAATGCGAGGGTGGTGTGGCATAGCGTAGGGGCGCTGTTATGGTCGATTTGGACGGTGCGGAACAAAATTACCATTGAACACAAGTACCTTGCACATCCAGCTGATATCCTTTTCAAATGCCACATTTTCTTATAGGCTTGGGCACCATTGGGGAAGCAGCGTGACGAGGGCCGCATGACCGAGATTATGGAGCAGATCAAGCTATGCATGGTGAAATCAAGACAACAAGGACAGCAAGCTTGAGGCCCTGTTTGGTTCGGCTGTGGATTTCTAAAAGCAGCTGTGAAAAATCTGTTGTGGAAAAACAGCTGTGGAAAATCTGATGTGAAAAAGATGTAGATCATTTGGCAAACCAGCCGATACAGCTTTATCAGATTTGGCCCGCAGCGGAATCAGATTTTGGAAAGCACGTCCTGGGCTGCTTCCGCTTTTGGTGTAGATTTTTACAGCGGATTTCTGGAATCGAATTCTGCTGGGTTCGCCCTTTGGTTCAGATTCTGCTGCGCGGCAGCGGAATCCGTCGATAAAAACTGAACCAAACAGGGCCGGAGTCTTTTGCGTTTACCTCTGCTTTACCGCGCGTTTATGTTTATACTTATCTATCTAGCTGGAATTCTATCTTTGCCGGGACGTTGAGCCCGCGGAACTTATGTCTTTATGGTTTGTAAGGTTGGAACTTTGTGTGGATGTTGCCTTGGAGCTTTATTAATTTAAAGTCGGACGCTTTGTGCGTCTTCCTTCCAAAAAAAAAGAACATTGCAAGCATAAATATAGAAAATAGATCCTCATATATATAAACCTCATATCTAATAAATACTGTACTATTATATATATATATATATATATATATATATATATATATATATATATATATAATTCTAATGCTTCTTGAAATATCCTGACGTCCTTCCAGCGAGACTCCATGCAGCTGGAGTCGTGGTTCTGCGCGTACACACCGAACTTGAAGAAGTGAGAGTTGCCCCCGCGTCCGTGGACATGCAGCTTCTGCTCGCCGTCGATGTACACGGTGAGTGTTGACGCCTCGACGTCGTGGACCACGTTCAGCCGGAACCATCTGTCATAGATGGCGTCCTCGACGACCTGCCGGTCATAGTACCGCAGCGCGCCATCGTAGACGTGCAGCATGAGCGTGGTGGCCGTCTCGCCGGCGCCGAACACCTGCATGATAGACACCCCTGTGGTGCCGGAGGGGACGTACCCGTAGCCCTCGAACTGCCACACGCCGGAGCTGTAGTCGTACCCCTGCAAGCAGAAGAAGATCAGTAAGATCACTAAATCTTAATCACACCCAAATGGAGTACATAGCAATGACTTGTAATTACTTACTGCCATCCTGATCTCAGTTCTTGGGCTGGTATGGCTCTGCCGGGCATGGGGCTTGTCGGAGGCGAGCACCCAGAGCTTCCGCACACTGCCGTCGAAGCTGTAGCGCGCGCCGCTCGCCTCGTCGTAGGGGCGCTGCAGCACAAAGTTGCCCTCGTCGAGCCTCACCGACGTGAACCCATAGGTCGGGTCGGCCGCTCTCGGTGCCCGTGCGCCCCTGGCTACAACGCATGACCACGACGCCAAGAAGACAATCAGAGATACACTAATCCAAGAGAGAGAGAGCAAGGAGCCATTGGTGCTACGTGTGTGGCTTCTGCTTTGTCTCCTTGAATTATCTCTCAATGCAGAGACTTGTGATGATGGGATCGATGGGTGTGGGTGTAATCAAGTTCGCTGTGGTTTATATAGGCTCTGGCGATTTATCAGTATATACTTCATGTTCGAAGTTGCAGAATTGACAGCTTAATTAAATAGCGCTCTTGATTTTACACGCAGAGGATACGTTGGATACATGCAGCTTGAGTTGTTCCCTTTTACTAGTGCATACGAGGTGACTAGGTAGGGTGAACAGGCGGCGACTAACATTGACGGCACGCTGTTATTTTCGTGTTACTGACGGTAATTCAGAAGGGGAAAGCGATGTATTGATCCCTCCTACGCGGTGATAGATCTACTGCGCGCGTGTCCTGGCGAACACGGCAGTTCAATTTGGGACGACGGCAAGGAGTTAAACAATGGAGAAATTATTTTCTGTTCAAGCGAGGGTATGCTTGAATTTTTACTTTTACCAGGTAATTGGAACTCACCTTTTTTGCTGGGATATTTTTAACTCACTAGCACGCTGAAGAAGCTACCGTGAGGACAAATAATTTATAGACACCGAGCCCCTCCATTTCTATCTTTTTTCCGAATCCAATATATAGACACGTTTCGTTGTGATTGTTCACTCATTTCAATCCGTACCTAGGCTATATTGAAATATTCAAAACATCTTATACTTGTGTGTAGAAATTGTAGGATGCTAATATTGTATTATATTGTTGTATTGACCGAGCCCAGATGCGGGGTATATATGGAGTACAATATGAGCGAGAGATTAGGAGCAGAGGGCAAGTTGTACATGATTTAATCCTATTATATCTTTAACTTGAACATAATTATACTTCTTACATTCCCCCTCAGTCATAGCAGGAGTGAAACAGACGATTGCAACTGAATTTGAAGTCTTGTGCTTCCGTCGTCTTCTCCATCGTGTCAGTATCAACTATGTCTTTGTTGGGTCGGTACTTTAGGCGGTGACTCTATCCCCTTTTGATGCCTTCCTTCTATGGAAAGCTGAAGTGCTCTTATCGGCTCGTTTTCGCATGTCGTCAGCTTATTATACACTGAAGGGCCCTCTTTGGCTTCAGCTAGGCCGACGGGGTCATAGTACTGATTTCTTTGATTTGGGGCATACATTTTCATATTTTATTTTTTATAAAAAATAATATTAAAAAAGCATGCATTTGTTGGTAAAGACTCAAGGAGAAGAACATTCTTGGGGATATCTTTGTGTTATCCACACCTCTCCAACAAAGATTACCACCCATGTCATGGGTGGAAACTTTGGGATAAATCTTGGTCTCCTACTTTGTGCTTGCTTCTGTTTTGTGCTTTTAATTTCAAGTTTGTTTTGTGCCAGCTTGCTCCTTATTTATCTTGTTGCCACCAATATTATTGTGTAGGGTGATTCCCTTAGTCGCATTTAGAGTACCTACAATTTCACAATCAGCAGTGGGGGCGCCAAAAAGACCTTTTAACTAGAGTCTGCAACTGATGGTTAGAATTTATGAAAACTCCACTGGTGATGGGTCTTTATTTGTGCACTCCCCTAATAGTATTGTGGACCATGTCGGCTAAACGGTTAAGCCCGTCACTGGTGCTCTGACCTCTACTAAAGTGCAGCCCATTTCATCTCGTCACTAGTTTATTTATCCCAACCCACTAAGCTCACCAGCCTAGGAAGTATATAAAGGTATACCTAACCCTAACCCCCTCATTCCTCTTTCTTCCATCGCCTGCCGCCAACCCTCTCCTTCATAACCGGGCTACCACATATGCCTCTCCCCAACTCCCTTTCTCGAACCACCACTCACCGATGAGCCGCCCCACTGCACACCCCTCAGTCATCGGTGCCGACTCCCAGGCCTTCCCTACAGCCACAAAACTGCTACTCTCCCTCCCCCCACTGTGCGCCTCTTGCTCCTCCATCGCAGTGCACCACTCTCCTCCTTCGTCGATTCCAAGATCTGGTATTTG